CAAAATTAATTCCAGCTACAACCTTAACTCTTTTCTATGTGACATAACACACTCACAGGTTCTAGAAATTAGGACGCAGACATTTGAGGAGGCCATTATTCTGCCCAGCACAGATGCATAGAGTAAATATCTGATAAAACAAAACCAAGTTTAAGTGCTGGTTTTGAGCTATAGACTAAATTATATTTTAAATTTTATTTTTAGTTACTGTTTATAACTTATAAATTAAAAATTAAGAATATTTAAAATGAATGCATGTTAACCCTTTTTTGTGGGGCAGTTAACATTTTAAGGGTATATATGGAATTGGTACTGGACAGTGAGAATCTAAGAACTATTTTGGCCTTAAAGAATTGCAGTGAGAGAAGCTGATAGGTTTTAATAGCAGATAACTGCAGTTTGCTCCCGTCCTGGGGTGTTGTTGGGGAGGCATCCCAAATTCACTTAGTGCTCACTGAGTGGTTTAATGGGAGATTTCCACCTGTGTGTGATGGGAAAATGTGATAATGACCCTTTACAGGCTAAAATGAAGAGCTGCATGAGTCAGTTACTTTCCTCTTGTGATCTCACAGTCTGTAATATTTCTTTCCTTTTTTTAAAATAAATATGCGTTAACTATTCTGTGGTTCTAGCTCTGTAATTGTCCTTTTTTTTTCTCTTCAATCTCAAATGATAGCTACTGTTGATTCCATGTGACATTGACGTTTGCATTTACTTCCTTTACCTAGTGAATTAAATACTTATTATTACGAAGCAACCACCTCCATCTTTGGTAATGTATTTGCCGTAAAGTTCACCTTACCTGATAGCATCAAAGCTCCCACACCTATCTTTAATTATTGTTGGCACTGTATTCTTCTATACTCTTACTTTTCTCTTGCTAATATCTTGATTTTATACTTTCTCTTATAAGAAATACATAAATGTTACTTTTACTGATATTATTGTTGTCCAGTTGACAATCTTTATATATAACTAGACAGTTTGGTCCATTTAACTCTGTTGTAAATACTTGATATAGTTGGGCTTAAATCACCATCCTACTTTGTGCTTTCTGCCTGTCTGACTTTTCTATTTTTTTTTTCTTTTCTTTCCTTTTCTGTGGAGTTCTTTTACTGTATTTTAACAGGCTCCTCTAGAGTCTCCAGAAGCAGCCCTGATGACACTCTTATTTTGGACTTCTGACCTCCAGAACTGTGAGAAAATAATTTTTTTTTTCATTTGAAGCTACCAAATTTGTAGTTATTTGTTACAGGGGCCCTAGGAAACAGATGTCATTTGTTACCACTGGGTAACGTGTAACTCCAACACTTAGTGACTTAACAAAACATTCAGTATCTTATATTTTCTGGAGTTATCCAGGTGATGTTAGCTGAGTCCTCCCCCTCTGGGTTTCTCACAAGGTTGTAATCAGGTCAATCGAAACTGCAGTCTCTTCTGAAATTCTGACAGGGAAGCATCTGCTTCTCAACTCACTATCCAGCCTGCACATCAAGGCAGAGGGTTGTACAGGCAGGAAGTAGAGAACATAAGGTTGGAAGTAGAGAAAACAGAGAGCCATCTTTTAAAGGCTGCTAGGTGGCCCCCCATCACTCACATTCCTTCTACGTGCAAAATACATTCCCTCCCCAGAAAGGTTCCCAATAGTTTCACTCCATTACAATATCACCATATTTTAGGATCTTCAGTATTTAATATGGCTCGACCATGGAAATAAAAATTAATAACTTTCTACAGACACCTGATCATGTATTTGATAAAATAATAAAAGGTAGAAAAAGGAATTTAAGAAGTATTAACTTGAAGCAAGTACTGTTTTTTACAATTCATGAATTTTATGTTTACAAATCTCTTCAAGTCTACTTTACCCAAAATAATAGCAAATGCCCAAAGCGAGCCAGTTTTGGCCTTTCTGGAACCCAACCCAGTAAACCGTAGCCTCTGCCATTCCTTCCTTTCCAGTGTGTGAGCATAAAAGTTAAGTAGAATGAATGGGCTCCTGTGCAAGCACAGATTTAAGGCAGGTCCCTGAAGCATCTTCTTGTGCTAAATGCACTGTAAATATTTTGGAGTCACCTTGAATACTGCTAAATTGAAATAGAAAGTGTTGTCTACATATTTTGAACTATTATATTCAATGACCTTCTGAAAAAAGAACATTTTCAGATAGCAAATACAATGGGATTTCCACATAAAGCAGATATGAAAATCTTCCTATTTAACAATTTTTATTGCTGGAAATCAGTGACCAAAGAATTAGTAAATGGTTAGCACAGTGCTCTAGTAATTCCAGCATAGAGTTTGTTTGTTTGCTTTCCTCTAACCTTCTCCTACATATATTCTCCAATTAGTCCCATTACTCAAATGATCCATTATTAAAAAGTTTCTATAATAAGATTTTAATATTTCTCTTTTTTCCTTCTAATCATTATGAGTACATATGTCTTTATATTATTTCAATAGCATGATTTTTACTTTTACTTCTTAACATAATATTCATATGCATTTTCCAGTTGGTCTTTTTTTTTCAAATTTATGTTTATGCAGGCTAATTTCTTGAATGAAATTTCCTCAGATATCTATCAGTATTTTCCTTTTTGCACCTATTAATAGCAGACAACTTATCCAGATTTTACTTACATAAGCTTACACACCCTTGAAGCATTTGCAGATACAGAAACAAAATACTTCTATATCCTTCTGCCAGGTATATTTCTGTCTTTTCCAAAGTAAAAATTTCAGAGAACTGGAATGATCCGGCTATGCTGAAGAAAACCCTTCCAGCTCCTCTCAATTTGTACCATTTCTTTCTTCATAGGAACCAACCACATCAATTGTATCACCAGGGGAGCCATTGTGTTTCACGGAAGCCAACCTAGCTTTCACATATAATTATTATGCCTAATGACCTTTCTACATGTATGTTGCACCATAGAAACGTAAGAGTTCATTGCCAACAGTAGTACTTTAGCATGAGAACAGTTACAAGACCAAAAGGACATGCAGTTGGAACATAATCAAGAGAATGCGTAAGGCGAACGAAATTAATACAGCGACATTATCATGCTAGACACATGGATCACTCAGCATAGGGTGAGAAAGTCATCTCTCACAGCACGTACTTATCACAAGGGTGAAAAACAAGCAATAAAATCTGGCTTGTAATTCTCTATTCCTACAGAGAATAGAGACATTTGCATCTTCCTTTTCTTTTCATATGCTTGTCTTCTGGGTCACAGCATTCTAACTAAATGTAACATTCCGAAGAAAAAGCTTTCTTAAGAATGTTCCTGGGATTTGGGGTCATTGCAAATTTGGATCTAGTTAGAGAAACACTTTGGATTGAAAATTGAACATTCTGTTCTTTTAAAAATACTTTGTTCTCATAAACATAGGATCTTGGCTCATTTTTAGGCACTCTAGTGAAATAGAAAGTCAGCATTTTATCCCTAAAAACATTCCAAAAATGATGTAAGGGACAAATTGAGGCATGATCCTCAGAAAAGCACTGCATTTTTTTTAGCCAGTCTGAAATCTCTTGTCATCTTCTGCAACTCAGATATGATGAAACCAACAGATTGGCAAAGACTGGGTATTGTGGGGGTCACTCTTGCAACAGCCAGATATGTCCAGGCCAGGCCTCCCTGCTGAGCAATGTCCCTGAGTAAGGCTTGCTGTACTTGCTCCCATTTAGGCACCATAAAAAAAAAAAAAAAATCACCTTGCTTCATTAACACTACAATGAGACATAGTTTTCACACATACCAAGTAACCAAATTTAAAAGACAGAATGATGATGAGTGTTGAGGTGATCTATAGGAAGAGATCTGTGGTCATGAAGTGAAAAGGGCAAACTGGACAGCCATCTGAAAACCGTTCGGCATTGCCAGGAAATGCTGAACATGTACATGTCCCATCCCTATCAGTGTCACTCCCAGATAATCCATCCAACATGCACCAGGGAGACATGTGCATGGCCACACTCCTTCCGAGATTTCAAAGCAAAATCCATGCAAAGATAGTTGGGTCTGGAGGGCTATTTGTGTGAGGAGAGTTTTGTATGCCCATGAGTTCGAAAAAGAGTTACATATTTCTGCTTCGCCATTTACATAGTTGGCCTCTGAATTTTCTGTAGGACTGAAGGGCTTCAATATGGCATAGAAGAGTTGTGTTCAGAGGAGCATATAAAGACAAAAGTTTGGATGTTACCTGGTATTGTTTTTGCAATAGAATTTGGTTAAGATCAAATAATCTTTAATGACCTACATCAGTACTCAATGAAGTGAGAGTTTATAGTTTTGCATATTTTGATAGACTCTACTGCTAGACTTAAGTGGGGGGAAGGACTGATTAGGTCATGAAAGAATAGTGATGAAAAGATAGAGATAATGAAGAGATCAGAATAGAGAAAGAAAAGTTGGAGTAGAAAAATAAAGAAAAAGTAGAGAAGCCATTCTTGGTAATATAGACATGGTGCTAAGTGGAGATGTTGCTGGATTCTAAAATGCATCTTCTGACCATTCTTGTGTCAGAATCATCCCAAATGGGTACTTCAGTCTTCATGCTGACTCTTTCACCCTCCCTTCTCACCCCTTGAAATGGTTCCAGCTGCAATTCTAAAATCACTAAAGGAAACTCAGTAATGCTATCTCGAAATTCAGTACTGTTTTAATTCAGAATACTTTTACTTATATATACATATGTTTAGTGATTGCATGCTAAATATCTATTTTCACTTACTTAACTCATGTTGATGCTTATGATGTTTGTGAATAACAACCTAAATGTGAAAGTATTCTTGAACTGGATATATTGGGCTAAAACTCTCAAGATAAAGTAATTTTCTTTAAATAAGTATTCCTGAATAGCTTTCATGATGGATATAAAGTGTCTCACTTCAGATAAACACCAAGTAGTTGCTGTAAAGTTGCATATATACTGAAGACATTTACCACAGTTGAGAAACTCTATGGCCAGATATTCCTTGAATTACTACTTACATTGTGCTTTGTGAGGTTTGAAATATTAGTTGCTATTGCTTGTAGCCAGTCAATACAGTCTTCAGCGGAGAGGCACTGAATAATCCCACTGCAGACCCCGTCCACAGCAACGACTTGAAAAGCATTCTGCCTGCAGACATGTCAGAACAAATCAGATCAAAACATCATCTCATTTATCTGTTTGCAACTTGACATAGAATCTGTGGAAAGGTCTTCTATACAAATAGAGCTTCAAATTCATATTTGCTTATTTCTCTTTAAAAATATCTCTGTTTTTAAATGGAGCACCAAGTAGGAACCCAGATGACATATTTTGAATTAGTAGAAAGTTATCTTGAGATTCATATATATTTGGAGAAAACTTGAGTTGTAAAATATATGTTATATAAATGGAAGAATATTTAAGACATGTTATGATTCTTTTCCCAGTTTACCATCAAAATGTACATAGAAGTTTATCTATTACTTTGGCTGACATCATCTCCTCTTCACATTTTTCAATTCATTTTCTGGTTTACAATGGAAAGATCATAGAAAAGATACACAGATATTAAGTATCATATTAAAAAAAATAACCTGACATCACAAGCTGCATGATTTTGCTAGTTGTAAACCATGTTCAGCCCCCGTTTATTCCTCTTCTCAAAGATGATTTGGACAAGAGGTTCATAGTTCCACCTCAAGTCTAAACTTTCTCTGAATTTATGTACATGTCATGCATTCGATAACAAACAACCAGACTTCTCTTTAAAACCCAGTGAGCAGTATAAATATCCTTATGGGCTTTTTGTTGATTTGTTGTCATTGTTGTTAGAGGAAATTAAATGATGCCATCCTAAACTGTATACCAAAGTCCTATAGAATTCAAAATTGCTCCCTACAGCTTTAATGATTTTTTTTCTGTATCAAATTCTTGCATATTTATCTATGAGCTTAACAGACAGGAATTGATAAAAATTTAAAACGAATGGAAGCTAGCCAAATGGCTTGGGCTTGAGAATTACCATGTTGTGTAACATGATACACTTTGGGAAATGTACAAGCTATATTTAAATCTCAGCCAATTATGAAGAAATAGAAAAGTTCTGTAGTTCAGCATTCAAAGGCCTTGCAAATTATATACATTTATATATTTTTCTTTTAATAAATACCTTTTCTGTTTTCTGACACTTGTAGCTAGGTATTTATGGGTAGTAGGTATGATTTCACTTTCTTAAAGAAAGGACAGAGCATAGGACATAGATCTGGCTCAATTCAGTACCTGGGTCACCTTGCCTTCCTATGACTCTTGTTCATATCTCAGAACTGTGCACAAGCTACAGCTTTTGATTCTAAGGCACTCTGCATCCAAGTTACTGATATTTTTAGAGAAATATGCTCTCATACCCTTGACCAAGCACTTTCAACTGAAACAAGGAAGTGTTCCAATATACTTTATTTTTTGTTTTCTCTTAAAAATACCTGAAAAGACTTTAGAAAGTCTTTTAGAAAGTACAACTATTATCTGTCTCTTTGGAGTAATGTTCTTTTGAATTTGTGACAAGAAAAAATATGCAGGGCACGAAAAGAATATTATAACCTCACATGTCTTTCATTGCTTTAATTTTGATATTCTGCAGTGAAGAAGACGTTTAAAATATCTAGAAAGCTCAACCATCCGTGGAAAATGAGAACTGATTTGCATTTAGTAATATATATTACTTTCTGCTCTCTGATTATCATAACCATTGCTTCATGTACCAAAAATTAAAGCATATCTTGAACGTATTTGTCCTCTCTGCTTTAAATGAATCATGGCAGCTTTTGATATTTTTAGCTGATTAAAGTTAATACGCTTAGATCAAATCTGCAGTCTATCTAATCATATGTTACATAGTCCCTAGAAAGAATAATTCTGAGGGCCTAATCTTTATAAATGCAAGCTTATATGTTAACATATATATTACTTTTTACATTCTGTTTCAACTTTTTGGATTGATTTAATGGAAACCCTTTCAAGAATATAAGTATTTGAGCACTTTCTTTGCTTACATATGACCTCTTCCAAAATAGCCTGATCATAAAATTATAGTGTGAGTCATATTCCTGCCTCTGTTATTCAAATAATGAGAATATTAACAAATTAGTTCACTTAGTTGTGATACAATTTCCTCTATAGGAAAATGAGAATCATGTACTTTACAGATTTACCAAGTATTTATGGAGTAACTAGTGAGATCGAGATGATTTTCATATACCCCTGAAACTATGAATAATTTTCCTGTGAATAATCCATTAATATGTGGTTCTGACTGCAATATTTGAGAATGTTTACTGGACTTATTGCTTCATCAGCACTTAGGAAGAACTACAGTGCTTTCGCTTTTATTTTTAGCTTCTAGAAAATACATTTCTTTGACTAGAGATAATCAGGAGAAAAAACTTTTTTTTGTTTCATCTTATTTGATGGTATACGTTTTGAAATCAATAGACTGCATTAACCGCCTACTTGGTATTGTGAATCATTAAACTTGAACAATATTTGTAGCAGTCTTGAGGATACCCAGAAATAATTATGATCCTTAGTCTACCCTCATGCATGTACACACACACGTGCTGAAAAAATTTACAATATTGAGGTGAGATAACCTGAAGTTTTACATTCAGATTAATTTGTCCACTCTTTTTGCTCAACTTTTTTATATTTTTTGAAGAATTCTGGGTCATTGCTCTGGCAATGAAAAGTATTCTCAAACTTTGCTGAATTTGAATGCAGGTTTTGCTTTCTTTTTTTTTTTTATATATATACAAGCTTCGTTTTCCTTTGTATGAACAATATTCTACTGACTACAAAGTTTATACATAATTTTCAATATAACTTACACATACATATAAATTTACACACATGTCTGATTAACACTGTGAATAGTTCACATTTTAATTCACTGCTGATTTCATACCTCATGAGGGCACACATAGGAAGACATTAAATTTGTGAGGAGGGAACAGTAGAAAGCAGAGAGGGAAGGCACTTCTAGCACGAAGAACGAGAATCACAGGCACCAAAATGTAGCAGTTTGGAGCAGCTGGATTGCCACATCCAGGAGCAAGATGGCAGAAGATCAGCATGGAGTAGTAGACAGGCTCAGAGCTGGGGGGTTTTGTAAGCCACACAGGGGCCTCAAAGTCCCCAAGGACTCGACTTTCTATGGAGGGCTGTCAGTAATATGACTGCTAAACTGGGAGATGATATGGAACTGAAATAAGGTGTTCAACAGAATGAAAAATAAAACAATTATCTCAAGGGGTTTATAGAGGCATTAGAAAGAATATGACACCCTTTTTAAAGATAGAATTTGAGGAAGGGAGTAGAGTCAAAATTACTTCAAGGTTTTGGATCTCACTGGTTGAAGCTTTTCAATGGAGAAGAGAAGGGAAAGCATTTAGGTGGGAGATAGTTCATCCAAAACCAAATAGTAACATGTGGAGAGAAATGTGGGCTATTTGACTTAGACAATGTGCACTGGGGAAGTGGCAGGTCCTGAATCTGTTAAGTAAAGCTTTTTTTTTTTTTTTTTTTTTTTTAAGAGCTTTGCAAAGTATTTCTACCTAATCCTGAATCCTCAGAGGGAAGCGATGCAAAGATTCAAGGATTGGAACGAAAGCTCCTGTTTGTATCTTAGATCTCTCTGTGGTGGTTAATAAGATGGGAAAAATGATATTATATCCAACAGGGATGTAGGAGGGTATTGTGATACTCAAGATGAACAATGATATGAATCTGTTTCCAGAGAGTGGTTCTCTGTCTACGTAGGAGAGAACATTGACTCAGACGGTGTTGAAAAAAAGGCCATTTACTTGATTTGGTACTTAATTATTTGGGGAGGCAGTAAGGGAAAGGAAAAAAAATTAATTTAAATTTAAAAATTTTTAAAAATTTAAATCACTAGCCTTTAGATTAGTGATTCCGGCAATTTATTCTATTTCTTGTTGAGTTCAATTCACCTTCACCAAGTTCAGGATTATTTTTGCTCTGGGCATGCTACCTTGGTTGAATGCCTCATCAGAGCTTTTACTGTTCCAGGTCAAAACCTTAACTTTTTGGTGAAGCATGTGAACAGCTCTTCCAAACTATTTTGCTATCCATTTTCCAAGGTTTAATGCAGTTCATGATTTGAAACACAATAACTAATCATTCCCTAAACAAGCCCTGCAATTATGTGCAACTATGTTTTCCCCTCCCCAGTATTCTTTTTGTCTAAAAAAAATCCTCTATCCCACTCCATTTATTACCTGCAAAGTTATTGCAAATAACTTAATTCTAATAACTTCCTGGCCTCTAATTTCTCTGTGTGTAAAATAAAGATGGCAACATTTGTCTCTCATCTCTTGGATTTTTAAGACTTTTTTTTGAGAAGTTTTAGCTTCACAGCAAAACTGAGGGGAGAGTACAGAGCTTTCCACACACATGCCTAGCCTCCCCTAATATTGATATCCCTCAACTAGATGGCACATTTGCTACAAGTGATGCACCACTAATAACACATCATTAGTACCCTAAGTCTAAGTCCATAGTTTACATTAGGACTCACTCTTAGTGATCTGCATTCTGCGAGTTTGGACAAAGGTATGATGGGGTTTATCCATCTTTATAACATCATACAGAGTATTTTCACCGCTCTAAGTATCCTCTCTGCTCAGTTTCTTAATTTTTTCCCCTGCTTTCCCCTCCATATCCCTACCCCTGCAACCACTGATCTTTTTATCATCTCCATAGTTTTGCTTTTTCTAGAATGTCTGTCATATGCTTGGAATCACACAGTATTGTAGGCATTTCAGATTGACTACTTCATTTAGTAATATGCATTTATGGTTCTCTCATGTCTTTTCATGGCTTGATAGTCCATTTCGTTTTAGTTCTGAACAAATTCCATTATTTGGAATATATAGCTTATATATCCATTCACCTATTGAAGGATATCTTGCTTCCAAGTTTTGGAATTATGAGTAAAGCTTCTATAAACACCTGTGTGCAGTTTTCTGTATAGACAGAAGTTTTGTCTCCTTTGGATAAATACCAAGAAATATGATTACTGGATCACATGGTAAGAGTTCTGTTTAGTTTTGTAAGAAACTGTCGGGGCTAGACCA